GAGAAGGAGGCTTGCACGGTAAATCTCTGCTTGTTTTCCTGGTGCAAGATTTGAAGTGGGGGGAGAGAAGGAGCACACTTGAATATAATTGTTTTATATTGAAGAAGAGAAACAATCACCAGTGTTCCTAGTACTAGATATAGAATTTTCATCCCGTGGTTATGGCTCTGCAGAGGACATTTCAAATACTGTCTGACTGGTGGTTTTTTGAATTTGAGTGTTTATTGCCACTCATTTCAGAAGAAATGGACATACTCCTGGTCTTTGGCTTATTGGGGTGATAAAAGGTGAAAGCTGATGCATCAGGCAAGCATAAATTATATTTGTCCTACGACACTTTTCCAGACTCCAGCCCTTACCAGGTCAGGGATTTCCTGTTTAATGTATATTTATGAACTGTCTTTTACATGAACGTCTTTGGTCTCCCCTTGTGATCACATAAGCTTTTAGCTTCTACAACATCCTGTGGCAGGGAGTTTCACAGCTCTACTACTTCTTGCTTGAAAAAAGACCTACTTCTGCTTGTTTCAGACTGGCTGTGTCTGATGCTTGGGCCCACAGCTCCCATAGTACTTTGCATGCCTGCAATTCCTCCTGCACAGGCAGGAACATGATACTGATTGCGTTGATCAGAGTGGCAGAGGTGATAGATCCCAATCCTAGGTGTATACTTTGAGTGACCTACTGTAGCTTTTGAAGTCATCTGCCATGCTGGGTTGCTTCTTAAATGCGTCTTTTTGCCATCTTCATAGCTTAGCAACACTCCTTAGAAACCACTGTCTCATAATCTGCATTTCTCTAAGGGAGTGGTGTTTTTATGTCGTACCTGCTTTTTCCCTCTCCATGGCAGTAGCTTTTCTTTTTACAATGTGGTGACTGACTTTCCATCTTCTATTCTGGGTTGAAGTTTAAAACACGTCTCAAACAGAATAATACTAACTTGTCTCGTCCTTGCAGTTTTACCTTTTGCTCGTGCATACCTTTTTTAAAATACTGTATGGGGCTTCAATAATTTACCCCCAGTCACCAAAAAAAGCTTTCTTACTCATCATTGTTCTGTGTGATTGTTCCGTTTAGCACATTGTTTCCTAGCCTCATTGTTTCTGTTTAATCTGGAAAGGAAAAAAAAAGCAACACAGCCCTGTGGTCCCCCTGTCTCGAAGAAGGGGAGACACAAAAAGTGGAGTAAGATAAGCTGTTTCAGCTAAAGGCAGAATAATGTTAAGTGTTCAAAGCAGATAAATTCAAAGGCAAGCAGAAACATGTCTGCTTTCATCTGTCAGTGTGGAAAAGCTGCCAGCAGGCTGCTTCTCATTTGGCAGACAAAAAAATATGAATTGTCAAATCCCTGTGGTTACTGTTTAGGATTTTGTGGGCTGAATCATGATGGACAGTACTTCTTCAAAGGGCCTGTTCCTGGTCAGGCAGAAGTTGGGATGCAGTGAGAACCTGACATGGGTGAGGGAGAGAGGTTGGACATGACAGGTTGTGCAACATCATTTTACCAAGTTTGCTTTCAAAAGCAGATCAATGTCTGATCTTGGTTAGTCCAAGCAAGGAGGGATGTGGCAAAGCTATATATAAAGGAACAACCAGTCTAGAAAAGATCTACTAGTGGTTTTTTTTAAACTTTTTTCTGAGAATGTGCATGCACACACAAAAGCTCCAAAGGGCTGCTGCCCTGGAAATTACAAGTGCCAAATTAATAGCTACTCAAAGACCTCCTGTCATCAGGCTGTAGAACTCACTGCAACGGGATGTCACTGGCACCAGGGATTCAGCAAAACGTAAAGAGTGATTGGGCGCTAATAGAGAGGCCAAGCAGATCCAGGGTAGTTATTATCAGCAGCAAGCATTTTTGGCAGCCAATAGCGAGTGGTTTGAGCCCTACCATGTACAGGCGGAGGCAAATTATCCCACGTTTCTTTCTTCAGTTCTCTTGCAAAAGAGTTGAGACACAAGATTGGCTGGGGCTCAGCTATCATCCTCTGTAGAAGTTTTCCCCTTCCCTGCTCTTTCCTGCGCTCCAGCTTGGTGATCTGAGAGGCTCAGAGCCTGGTGTGACTCACAGTGCAGCACAGGCATGTCCGAGCTAGGCTTGAAGCTGCAAGCTGCGCAGCCACACCACTACTGGCAGCTATCCCCTCCTCTGAGGCTAGGTGCATATGCGGGAGCTGAGCTGGGTACTACCTGCTGTTACGACTCTGGCTAAGTCACTGAGATCTGCATGATCATGTCTATATTTTGGACTTACCTAATTCAAATATAATTTCAGATCCAAGCCTAGAAATGGCCAGAAGGCCATGCTGCAGGAGCTGGAAACCTTCTGAGCTGAGGGAGGGTTAGCTGACAGATGGACTGGAGGAAGTGTGTGGGCCTGGGATTATGATAAAGGAAATTGTCTAGAAAGGGGGAGTAGCAGCTCCTCACTTTCTCCAACTGCACAGTGGGATAAAAGCCGATAGCAGCTTAGCAAAACGAGATACCTTTTGGGGATTGGACAGCCCTTCCTCTTCTGGATGCATTGTATTGTTCTGAACAAATGGAAACTGCAGGCCAGAGAGCATTTGGTGGTGCAGAACTGGAAGGAAGGGGCCTGACTGTCCTGGAAGGAACTACTTTTACATTGCAAAGACCTGAGGAAGGGTCTACGCCTGTCTCATTCTTCCCTTGGTCTGATGCATACACAACAGCCTTAATTAATTTGCCAAGAAATGTATTAAGCAGAAGTGTCATGTTGTCAGTAATGCTCTGCAGCAAGCTGCTTTCATTGCTCTCAGGAAGGCGAGGGATGACAGGTTTGCTATCCTTCCCGGTGGCACCTGCTAGCTGCCGTGTTTTTCTGCAAACTTGGCCACTTTGCTTGGGTGCCTTTGACAGAGCTGCTGGGGACAGAGCTCTGGGATAACAGACCCTATCAATCTAATTAAAATTAGTTAAAGGAAAGAAGGAGAGAAAGAAGAAGAAAGTACTTGGTATCGTTGTACAGGGATCTCTCTATTTCCATTTGCTTATCAAATATTTTAGATTCTGTCACTTAAGTGCCTAATGTGTTTCTGAAGGATGAACAGCTGAAGTCCCATGAAGCTAAGCTGAAGCAGATCTCCACTGAGCTTGCCGAACATCGCTCCTATCCTCCTGACAAGAAGCTGAAAGGCAAGGAAGTAGATGATTACAAACTGAAGGACCACTATCTGGAGTTTGAGGTATGTACAGGAAACATTATTACTTTTACTTTTTGGGTGTGGATGGGGCAGCTGGTCTTACATTTGGGGTACAGTCCTAAAGTTCTGCATTTTTCACCTTACTTCACCAGCGAGTATGTTCTTGTTAGAGAGGTATGTCGCAGCAATCCCAGAAGCTGCGATGTGGCTCCTCTTTCTGCTAAGGACTTCCTGTGTACTTAGCCATGAATTTAGCTCCTCATCTGTAAAATGGAGGATAAAAATGTGACCCTCTGACCTTGCATGACGTATCTATTTGAAGAGATGGTAAAGTCTTCAGGCAGGAACTATCTCATGTTGTAAGACTGTGTGTTGCCTAGCGTGTTGGCAGCTCAATCTTTTTGGAATGACTGCATTCTGCAGTAATGCAGATCATGATAATTGTCTTCCGTTGGTATATTCTGAAGTGACTCTCTTCTAAAATTATTGTCATAGGCATGCCTCCTCAGAGCCATTTGTGTTGTGTACCCGTGAGCTGGATGTCAGGAGAGCAGGAAAAGGGTAGAATTAAAGATTACAGGATTGAGTGATGCAACTTAGGCAGCTGCATTAGGAGATTGTTCTAAGTATCTCACAGCAGCTTTTATCCATCATGGTGTCTGGCACATTGTAAAGCTATGTGGGAGGGTGTCGGCAACACAGCAGACACCTGATATTTTTCACGGCTGCACCTTTGAGATTCTTCCCCCAAAACTGAGAGTCAATGTTGCCTTGGGTCTGAAAGGATCCTGCTCTAGATAGGCACTGCCTGGCAAGGAAAATCCATAGTCTGAAGAAGAGAAAGGGTAGATAAGACAAAAGTCAGAGACACCACCAGAGGAGATGCTGGAGGTAACACAAGCCTCCAGAACTGAAGTAAGCCTCCTGCTGTGTGTTATATGAGTTTCTTCTGGAGGAGCTCTTTTTACTCCTGGGCTTGACTGGTTGTGTACTTTTGCTTTTGCAGAAGGTTGTAACCACTGTGCTGGGTTTGACTTTGCTGTAGCTCTGGGCTGCATTGTATACGGTGAGCTTGAGATGCTCTGCATAGATGTTTTGCTACTGTTATTGGTGAATTTGTTCTTCCACATCCCAAATACCTAAAATGGTCTGACCAACAATCAAATGAGGAAGTGGTGGACAGGGCTGGCAAGCAAGGGGTACACAATGATGTGAGCAGGAGAGACTACATAATCAATAAAACAAGACTGAAGTGAGATGATGGGATAGTTCACATGACTGGAGTGCTGCCGTGAATGGATACAGGCTTTTTAGAAAAGACAGACAGGGATGGCAAGGAGCGGGAGTCACCCTTTGTGTGAGTGAGTAGCAGGCACACATCAAGCTTTGCCTAAGGAAGCGGGATGAGCCAGCTGAGAGCTTGTGGGTCAGGATTAGCAGGCACACCAAGATGGGTTGGCTGTCTGCTAGGTCTTTTTCAAAAAACTGGAACAAACCTTGTGTTTGCAGGCCCCGGTCATCATGGGGAACTTTAACCACCCTTATATCTGCTGGAGGGACAACACAGCAGGGCGCAAGCAATCCAGGATGTTTCTGGAGTGCATTGACAACAACTAACACAGGTGACCGAGGAGCAGACAAGGAGAGGCACTTTGCTGGACCTCTCGTTTATAAACTAGGAAGAACTGGTTGGGGATATGAAGGTTAGGGGCAACCATGGCAGCAGTGACCATGAGATGTTGGACTTCATGATCCTGAAAGGAAGGCTGAGAGTAAAAAATAGGATCACAACACTGGACTTCAGGAGAGCTGACTTTGGCCTGTTCAGGGAACTGCTTGGAAGAATCCCATTAGGTATGTCCTTGGGGGGAAGAGAGCTTTGGGAAGCTGGTCACTTTTCAAGGATCACCTCCTTTAAGCCCAGGAATGGTTCACCCTGACAAGCAAGAAACCAAGCAAAGATGGCTGAAGCCTTCATGGATGAACCAGTTGCTCCTGGCAAAACTCTACCATAAAAAGGAAGTGTGCAGGAGATGGAAGCACTGGCAGGTGACACAGGAGGAATAGAGATACTGTCCAAGCACGTAGGATTGCATTTAGGAAAGCCAAAGCCCATGTGAAGTTGAATCTGGCAAAAGATGTGAAGGGTAAGAAGAAAGGTTTCTACAGCTATATTAATAGCAGGACAGCTAGGGAAAATATGGGCCCTAGTTGGGGCCCATAAAAGGGCAAGGAACCTGGTCACAAAGAAAGGCCAGGGTACTCAATGCCATCTTTGTCTGGGTCTCTACTGGTAAGACCAGCCTTCAGCAATCACAAATACATGAGCCCAGTGGGAAAATCTGGAGCAAGGAAGACTTACGCTTGGTGAAGGATGATAAAGTTAGGGAATATTTAAACTGGACATACGCAAGTCCATGGGATCTGATGGGATGCACCCATGAGTGCTGAAGGAGCTGGATGATGTCATTGCAAGGCCACTCTCGATTACCTTTGAAAGGTCATGGTGATCAGGGGGAGGTTCCTGAGGACTGGAGGAAAGCAAATGTCATTCCTGTCCTCAAGAAAGGCAAGGAGGGAAGGTCCAGGGAACTACAGGATGGTCAGTTGCTTCTCTGTCCATGGGAAGGTGATGGACCAAATTGTCCTGGAAATCACTTCCAAACACATCAAAGACAAGAAGGTGATTGTGAGTAATCAGCCTGGCTTTATGAAGGGAAAATCATGCCTGACCAACATGATAGCCTTTTACAATGAGATGTCTGGTGTGATGGATGAGGGGAGAGCAGTGGATGTTGTTTATTCTCGGCTTTAAAAAGGATTTTGACATTGTCTCCTCTAACATCCTCATAGACAAGCTGATAAAGTGTGGGCTAGGAAATTGACAGTAAGGTGGTTTGGAAACTGGCTGAAAATCGAGATCAAAGGGTTGTGATCAATGGCACAGTGTCAGTTTTGAACGTAGCACTTGGATGTACAGAGCAAGCCATACACTTTCACTCTGTAGCTGGTCTTGTGCAAATTGGGAGAGCAAAGAATTTCTTGGCTTTGGGTCCTTGACACAAAGTTTATTTTCTATCACTTCTAGAAGCGTGATGAGTTAGGATGAAATGTAGGCTGGAGTGTTAGATGATTTTAGAAAGATCGATGGAGAAGGAGATTGTTGTGGTTTTTTTCTGTTTTCTGTCAATTTCATCATGGTGGTCTTTAGAAAAATATTCCTCGGGTACCTCAGTACAAAGCAGGACCAGTACAGCCCAGGAAACAAAAGATGTGTTCTTCCCTAGTGAGAGCCTTGAACAGCAATTGAACTGTGCAGTTCAGATATGTGATCAGCACTGCAGGAATGCCTGTCTAGGCAGGCAAGTGGTGGCACCAACTCCAGTTGTGTGCGAGAGATGGTGATTCAAGGTGCTGCTGTGCAATGCGATGTTACCTTCACACTTGGCACAGATTTTGCAGGCCACGTTGAACTATCAATAGGCAGTAAAAAAAAAAAAAAAAGAAAAGAAAAGTTGAGCTATATGAAAATCCTGAATGGAAACTTTCCCCCTGTTTTGGGATTTCCTTACCTTCCCTTCAGAACAAAGTCCGGTCAGGGTCAGGCAGGAGCTGGTGACAGACCTTGCTGCATGGGGTCAAAGCAAAAGGGCAAGAGGCAGGTGAGGCAGTATTTTGGCTCTTTCAGGCTGAGACTGCAGACCAGACCTTGCATCCGTGTACAAAGGGCCATGCTGGTACTTTTCCAGAAGCACACCAAAAAGGCCTGCGAATCCTAAAGGAAGCAGCGTAGTCCCATTAGGAAGGAAGAAGCCAGATTCCTTTTCTGTAGGCTCTTGTAATTCCTTTTTGTTCACCCACCAGAGTTCCCTTCATTCTTGTTCCTGATGAAAGACAAGTGAGATGGTGTTTCCTTCTGAGGGGAGGTGAACCAGGAGGTGCTGGGTCCTTGTTCAGGGATGCAGCCAGGAGTGTTTCTTCTTGCTGGTGTCTTTGCTTGCTGTCTGAGGAAGTACTGCTCCAGATGATGGTTGCTCATTGCAGCAAATTTATGGTTTGAGAGAGATCTTTAGAGTGCTGTCAGGTGAGAGGTGAAGCCAGAAATTTGTTGGGTGGCTATCTCATCTCCTCTTTATCATGTGCGTTCAGTCTTGAGAGATAATGTTGCAGAAGCTTTTGAATGGTTTTAACTTTTGTGGTTTTACTTTCTTGGCAGAATTTTCCAGATTAATTTCTTTTAAGGAAAAATTTCCACTAGCTTTAATACCTAGCTTCAAATGTCAGATCACTAAAAGAGCAGGTTTGTTGCATTTGAAATCAAAATAGAAACTTCCAAATGCATTGCTTAATTGTGACAGAAATCACGGGCCCACAAAGTCCAGGGCAAAATGGCCATTGGCAGACATGCAGGGCAGTAACTGGTCCTGGATTTCCATTCTGATTGCTGGGTCTTGTGACCCTGGTGGTATTTACTGGACCAACAAAAAGCAGAAGTCTGTATGGCAGTAAAGTCCCTCTCTCCCTTGATGAATATTACACTGATCCCAGGCTTAGAGCACTGGCTTGCCTTCTCTTCTGCAGAGGTGTCCTGTTCATTGTGTGATGAAGCATTCGTCAGCCCAGTACATCCTCATCATCAGGGTTCTGCTTGGTGTTTCTCTGTTTCCTTTTTTATTGAATGACACATCTTACCTGCTTCATGTGTTTGTCTCTCGCATTGTGGAGCTGGAGCTCCAGATATGGAATTGATAAAAATGCTTTTAAAATTAATTTTTAGGTGGATTCTTTTATGATCCTCCTCTATGCGGTTTTGTTTATTCGAAGAACTCTTTGGAAACCCAGTCATGTTCTCTCCTTTTTTTTTTCCTTTATATTCCACACTTCAAAGCAGTTACCAAGCTTTTTGACTTCCTGCCCTTGAATAAGTGTTATTACCAGAACTTTATTATTTTGTTATAAATTGGAAGAACTTTTGTTATACACTTTTTCCTCTGTCAGGAACATAATAGTTTGGCAACTGTTTTGCCACTTTGAAATACAAATTAACAATCAGTACCGATGTTTACATCCTCCTTCCCTGGCCCCCAGCCCACTGAGACCACCTTAATTACAATGCCTGCACCACGTCTTTAGTGGATATGTCAGGGGCAGGTTATTAAACAAGTCCTGGGAGGTGGGTTGCTCTGTTCTCAGGACCTCCTGCCCCAGCTTCTGTTTTTGAGGCCCTGCAGGGATCTTCTGTTAATGTACCCTCATTTCGTTGGTTGCCGAGATGTTCTGTGCAGAAAGATGTTATTGTGGCACACAGAGTGAAATACTCCCATTGGAGAGGGAAAGCTCTGCTCCAGACAAGGAACAGAACAAGTGGGCATGGGGCACAGTAAAGTGAACTTTTTTCAGTTGAAAAATACCTGGATAGAGAGCAACCTTCAACATTCACCATGAGTGGCCCTGTCAGGGGAACATGCCGTGCTGCTGTTATAGCCTTCTCCTTTTTGTTAAGGTCTGGCCTTGCAGAGCATCCTCTCATGGGCTTAGTGGTGGCCAAGTTGTATCATCTGAGCTTAGCAGGACCCTGCTTTGGTTTCTCCCCCTGGGCTGGAGCGAGGCAAGCAGGACCTGCTGTCAGGAGTGGAGGGCCGCAGGGGAGAGCTGTAGTCAACCAGAGCAGGATTTTTGTTGTCCACTTTATCTCTATGCCTGCATGGGGCACATAACGTCTCAATATGTGTGAGCACAGAACATGACTCAGCGTGGCTAAGGTCAGGAAGCTCTCACCATGTGCTCCAACTAGCTGGGAGCCACCATTCAGCAGAGCACCGGGATTCGTGTGCTGCAGAACTGAGTGCCTCTAATTGCACAGCACCCCTGGGCTCAGCCTGCCTGAAATCCTTTTATACAGTGTAATTTACATTAGCCACCATTGTTCGTGTCCACATCAGGCAGCATTGTTCACATCCGTATTAGGCTCCTGGCTTCCAAGGCCAGCAGAAACCATTAAGTTACCCAGACAGTCTCTCAAGTGCTTCTGCAGAATTTCTTCCAGACTGATTCGGGCCTTTCTTTTCATTTCCCAGAAAAATCGCTATGAGATTTACGTTGGCCTCCTGAAAGAAGGGGTGAAGGAGCTGCTGAGTGGAGGAGAGAACGATGCGCCAGGACTGAAGAAATCCCACTCGAGTCCCTCGTTGAATCAGGAGTCTCCAGTTAGTGCCAAGGTGAAACGCAATGTCTCGGAGAGGAAGGACTACAGGCCAGAAACCCCCAGCATTAAGCAGAAGGTCACTTAGGGTGGAAATGACAGCTAGGGGAACAGCCATGCAGCAAAGTACCGGTGGTCAAAATTTTTTCATTTAATAACCTGTCATTCACAAAAAATAAGTGCATCTGCCTGAATGGGGTGTTAGTGACATTTTCTATTGTATATTTTGCTGTTTCTGTGCAGATTGTGGGAGATGTCTTTGCTCCTGCTTTGCTTTGCTTTGTTAATTTATCATTTAGCAATTGAAGCATCGGGACTTTTTTGTGTTGTTCTGTTTCTAAAGGAGCTGGGGGAGGGGTAGAGCTCTGTGACGTATATTCTGTCTCTTCCCCGTTTATCTCCTCCCATCGGCACGTGGCTTTCATCTCTCAAGTCACTTGTCACTTTATTTACGTGGTGGGTGGAAAAGTAACTGGACAAATGCTGCAGTGCTGTGAATGCAGGCTGTAGCTGTGAGAAAAGCTGTGCAAATGGGCAGCTGCAGAAAGCTGGCTAGAGCCTAGGGTGCTGGGAACGCTGGTTTCCTGACAATGCAGAGCATATTGGTACTGGTACTTAGCAGCGGGTACTACAGTAAATAGTCACTGTTGCTTATCGTTATTGTGTTGACCCTGGAACCATGAGCACGAAGGGATGAAACCTGGAAACCTCTGGCAATGCTGGGATGACAGCGTTGGAATAAATTGTTTGCTTCTTTCCAAGCAAGAGTCTTCTCCTGAGTTAGCAGGCTGGGGGGTATCCAAACGCGTGCTGTCTCTGCAGTCAGGGAGATTAGGGATTACCCAGTCGGAATGAACCTGGGCTTTAAATCTATTTGCGGAGGAGGCTGCTGTAGATGTCAGCCATTAGCATTGTATTTTAAAGACAAAGGGCCTCTGTGTAGTTTTTAACTATACGCTCTCACTTAGCTGCTATATAGAGCCTTATGATGTATTGTGCCCCGATGCTCCCCCTTCCAGGAGTTTCCTTGTTGGTGTGCACAGACAGGTGTTCGCAATTTCTCTGCTAGTGACAAAGCACTTTGCCTTTTCTCTTCAGGAAGGGATTCTCCTTGGCTCTCCGTTTTCCTGCTTTAGCTTACATACAGGTGGAAGTCCGGAGAAGGGGACAGACCTGTCCTCGCTGTGGGCCAGGGTTTGATGCCGTCCTGGCTACTCTGTGCCTGGAGGCCAGTGCAATGCAGCCCCAGATTTGGCAGATCCTACCCTCCACTCTCACGGAACTAGCCTGCCTTGCAGCTCCCGCGTACCCTGCGCCAGGCTTTCAGAGGGGAGCACGGGGCAGGGAGAGACCACCATGAGTAGAGCTTTCCATACCTGAAAGCCCCCTCTTTGTGCCACAGACGCTTGGGATGGCCAGCAGTCTTCAGGTACAGCGAGTAGAAAGGTGGTGTAGAAATCATTTTCCTGCTTCCCAGCCCCCTTGCCTGGGCAGCATCGTGGCTCTGCAGAGCATGCTGGCTCACTTGTTACTTAACACCCTGGGTTTTAATCTCAAGTTTGATACTGGCCCGCTGGGTGAGCTTGGACACGTCTCTCCCCTTTTGCCTCGCCCTTCCCCTGTGCAGAGTAGTCAACCAAACTGGCCTTTCCCGCCGAGCACCTTGGAGGTAATGTTGAGGGCGAGTTGAAAATTGTTTGTTGCTGTTACTTTTGTTGTGCCTGGCACAGGGCAGCCTTCCTGATGGATGTGATTCTTAATGCGTAAAGAACATCAAGATCAATGCAAGGACTGTTTAGAAATGCGCTGAGGTTTCCAGCCCAAGTAGTTGAAGGGCCACACATCAAAAAAATTGCCACCTGAGTGGATTTGTGCTCTGCCAGACTTCCCGAAGGGTCCAAGTCAATTAATCTATCTTATTGAACCGACAGCTCAGTAGGCAGGACAGGGAGTGATCAAAGAGAGAAGGACCTTAACAGGCGCTTCATGACTTGCCTCCCCCACTGAGGACCACCGTGCAACAGCTTCCCCGCTGTTGTGCTCACTGTTGGCTGTAACGAAGACGATGTGTTCTCAGATGCTGGCAGGTGTTGGAGCAAATCGATCTTTGCAGTTGCAGCCCGGCAGCAAAACCAGATGGAACTGTTTCCACATGCGATGTTGGAACGCGCACGCATCTGGCACCTGCCACTGAGAGTGGCCACTCCATGCTAGAAGTCAGGAAGTCGGCCCCTAACCCTGGCAACGTTGCTAAAAACCGCAGAGTCCTGAATAGAATCCATCAGCTCTTCCCAAGCGCTGGGGTTTTAGAAGTTGTGCATGCTTACAGTGGAGCAAACGTTCAGTCCTCTTCCTGGAGAAGAGAGATGCCTTCTACTGCTGGAGCCAAAGTGATGTGGTGCAGTATGCTGTGTTAGGAGACTCAGTGTAGACAGGTGCATGATAGTGCTCATTGGGAGGGATTGTTTGAATTAATGAAGTGTGGTAGATCAACAGCTCATGGAGGGGAAACAAAGCCAGGAGATCCCTGCAGCTGTTCATCATGCTCTGGTGGTTTAAAACAAACAAGCAGAAGAGAGAGAAGAAATTCTTTTGCGGAATGCCAAATGCACATTTGAGAAGAAAACTTGTCCTGTCTTGGATTCAGCATTAGGAAGCATGCAGCAGAAACAAAAAAATGTACAGATTTGTAAATGGGCCCTGCTTGGCTGTCAGGGCAGGATTGTCTAGATGAGCTTTTTGAAAGCAGTCTGGAACATGCCCAGAAAACCTCTTGTGATTATGGAGTGCAGTGCTTTAAAAGGCAAAGAGGTGACATTTAACTTTTTTTTCCTGGCTTTTAAAATATTCTGGTTGCTGTAGACTGCAGTTAAATTGCTGAGCTCAAAAAGAAATTATTTCTTAAAATGTGTTTCCCAGCTTTGACACAGAAACTGGATAATTCCTCTTCAGAGTCATTGCAGAGGAGATGATTTGAAGCAACAGGAAAAGTCAAAAATGAACTGCAAAAATAAGATTGTTTTTTTTCATTTTTCATTATTTGTTCTCTATTTCCATGTATACTTGTAAACAGATTAGGGTATATTTTTAAGTCTCATCTGGGCTTAGCAAATGCAGTTTTTCACTGCATTTTTTAGCCATTAAACATTTGTTGAGCTTGGAGCACTCTTGGTGAGACTGCTGAAGCATGCAGATTAGTTTACTGAGAATTGTCAGGTTCTGCTCAAGTTTTAATTAACGCCATTTTGGTCCATTGCTTCACAGATTCTAGGCATCCCAGGCACCCATGTGAAAATGCACATTTCGGAGGCCAAGACAAAAAGGTGATCCTGTTGTGAATGCCTAAGGCTCCTGGATTCCTGATCCTATCCTTGGGAATAGGATCATCTACTAAGCAGTAGTGTAATTTGCTTTCCCCCCCACCCCAATGCTATTGTAAAGGGTGGGGGCACGCTCTCTGGGAGGTCTCAGTGGTGCATCTTCTTGGGTGGCACCACTGGGAGTCTGGCCAGATAGCTTTGCATGGTATCCCGTACCCTGCCTTTCTTTGCTGAAATGTTTGCCTTTGGCAGAGATCAGTGCTTGAGCTCAGGAGCTCCCGTTACAGCATGTAAGGATATTCTGCTGATTTCCAGCCCTCCTATGGGACCCACCGTGCACCTGAACTTGGTATCAGTGGAGCAGCCTGCAGCTTTCTGGGGGTGCTCAGTGCGAGCAGGAGTTACAGGCAGACCACCGCGAGCGTGTGTGCGTGCAAGCCAGCCTTTGCATCAGTGCTGCAGGGAGGTGTCATCCTGCCTTGTCATCCTCTCTGCTGCAGCGTGCAACCGTCACTCAGGCAAAGCCTCTGCCTGTGTGTTGAGAGGGAGGATGCAAGGAGGGGAGCAGGATGGGGCCAACGGCTCCTCGCATCCCCCCTCTCAAGATGCAGACAGAGGTCCTGGAGGGACCGATCCTCCTCTGAAGCGTTGCTGGTTGCTCCCTCCCCAGGGGCTGGACCATCTCCTCTCCCCGGCTGAGGGGGGAGAGGCAGGAGAGGACCTCACTGGGGCTGCATCTGACAGCAGAGAGGTGAGGGAGAAGGACAAAATTGCCTTCCCCTTTCCCCACTCAGCAACAAAAGCAGGTGAGACACTCTCCCAAAGCCAAAACTGCACTCTCCTCTGTGAGCCAGCAGGATGCAGGGATCTGGTTGAGATGGTTTTCATTCGGCAGCGGCTGCGAAAGAGACTCTCTGGGCCGGCTGTGTGTTTGTGTGCGTCTTGCAGATAAATCACGCATGGACCAGTGAACATGACTACAGCTTTTTAATCCAGTATTTATGTTGTGTCTTTAATTGATGTAGAGAGATAAGTCAGCCAGCAGAGTGATTAATGCAGCATTGCTGGGGGGGAACGCTGTTCAGCTGCGACGCCGACTCAGACAGTTTTTCATCTATAGCCAGCCACTTGTAAATGGTTATCAGAAGCTTTCTAAGGGCTTTTAACAGCTCATCCCTTAAGTGCTTTCCCTCTGATCCCACCTGCTCCCAGGGTGCGGGCTGTCCACGTTTGGGGGCTCTCCTGGAGAGCAGTGCTTTGAGCAAGAGTTTGGTCTCGCAGGCCTCCTAAGACCAGAATTGTTCAGTAACTTTTCACAGCTCCAGTGCCTTCCGGTAACAAGGCTGGTTGTTCTTCTGGCTTGAAACAGCCAATATTTTTGCCTTTCTCTGGTGGGGGAGTGAGTTTCTCACTTGATCAGAGCAGCCCCTTCAGTGAGGAGGTGGTTGTGGCAGTGGAGAGAGTCAAAAGTGGCAGGGTTATCACTGGGCTTCTGGAGGCATTGCATAGCAATGGTCTTCTTGAAAGTGGGGAAGGTTTTTCTCTGCAGGCAGCATACCGCTTACTGTGTTTGTGTTCTCCATCCCTAAATCAATTTTGGCCTTATCGCAGTTAGTCTGACAGCTCCTCCTCCTTTTCTGTCAAGCTGCTCCTGTCTGTCATCTTAGCACCTCAGCTGCTTCTGTATAACAGGTCTCTTTCCTTCCATGCTTGCAGAAATCCGGAAAATTTGACTGTCCCATCTTGCCTTGAGAAAACCTGCTCTGAA